ATGTTATATAGTTGGAATAACACAGTATATGCTTAATAATATGCATTTAAAGTTCTTCTGTGTCTTTTCATAGCTTGATAGTTCATTTTTTTCTATCACTGAAAAATATTCCATTGGATGTACCAAAGTTTTTCTATTTACCTTCCTATTTGAAAGACTATTTGGTTACATCCAAGTTCTAGTAATTATGAATAAACCTGCTACAAATATCCATGTATAGGTTTTTGTGCAAACATAACTTTTCAACTCAGTTGAGTAAATATCAAGAAGCATAATTACTGAATCATACAGTGAAAGTTTGTTTAGTTTTGTAAGAAATCATCCAACTGGCTATTGCAGACTGTACCATTTGCACTCCTACCAGCAATGAATGAGAGAGTCCCTATTGTTCCACACGTCTCATTAGCATTTGGTGTTGTCAGTGTTTTGGATTTTGACCTTCTAATAGGTGTACAGAGACATCTCATTGTTGTTTTAATTTGTAAATCCCTAATGATATATAATGTTGAAAATCTTCAGATGCTTATTGGCCAACTGTTTGTCTTTTTTAGTAAAGTATCTGTTCAGATATTTTAGCCATTTTAAAATCATGTTGTTTGTTTTCTTATCCCTGAGTTTTAAGAGTTCTTTGAATATTTTGGATAATAGTCCTTTATCAGATATGTCTTTCACAAATATTTGTTCCAGCATGTGGTCTGTTTTTCCATTCTTTTGATGGTGTCTTTTACGGTGAGTTTTTAATTTAATGAAGAACAGCTTATCAATTTTTTTTAAAGACTTATACCTTTGGTGTTAGAATACAAAATTCAACACAAACCCAAATTCTCCTCTGTTATCATCTAGTTTTAACATTTAGCATTTTTCATATAGGTCTATGATCCATTTTGAGTTAATTTTTGCAGTAAATGTAAAGTCTGTATCTAGATTCACTTTTTTTGCATGTGAATATACAGTTGTTCAGCATGTTTTACTAAAAATCCTGCCTTTTCTTCATCATATTGCCTTTGCTTTTTTTTTTTTTTAAATCAAAGATTAGTTCACTATATTTGTGTGGGCCTATATCTGGGCTCTACAATCTGTTCCACTGATCTGTCTTTTCTCCAGTAAATACCACACTGTAACTTTATGACAAATCTTGAAGTTGAATAGTTGTCAAACTTGCAACTTTGTTCTTCTCTTTCAATATTATTTCTTATACTGGTTCTTTTGACTCTTCATATAAACTTAAGAATAAGTTGGTTGGTATCCAGAAAATTATTTGCTGGCATTTTGATTAGGATGGCATTAAATGTACAGATCAAGTTGGGAAGAACTGATATCTTGACAATGTCTTCCCATTCTTGAACATGGAATATCCTTCATTTATTTAGTTTTTAATTAGTTTGTTTCATCAGTATCTTGTAATTTTCCTCATAAAGATCTTATATATTTTTGTTAGCATTATGTTTAAATATTTAGTTTTTGCAGTGTTAATGTAAATTACATTTTGTTTTTAACTTCAGACTCTACTTGTTTATTGTTGGCATGTAGGAAAACAATTCACTTTTATATATTAACCTACTTCTGTCACTTTGCTATTGCTCATTAGTCCCGACAAGACTTCTGTTGGTTTCTTTCAGATTTTCTACATACAAAATCATGTCATCTGCAGACAGAGTTTTACTTTCTTCCTTCTTATTGTGTATCCCTTTGACTTCTTATTACATTAGCTAAGACATCTAACATGATGTTGAAAAGAGGTGGTGAGAAGTAAAATCTTTGCCTTGCTCCTCATAGGAAAGCTTCAATTTTTCACCATTAAGTATGATGGTAAGCTATAAGATTTATATGCATATTCTTTTTTTTTTTTTTTTTTTTTTTTTTTTTTTCCAGGGGTTGAATCTAGGAGTGCTTAATCACTGAGCCACATTTACAGATATATATATATATTTAGAGACAGGGTCTTGCTGAATTGCTCAGGGCCTCCCTAAACTGCTGAGGATGGCTTTGAACTCATGATTCTCCTGTCTCCCAAGCTGCTGGGATTACAGGCCTGCGCCACCATGTCCAGGCTATATGCATATTCTTAATTGAGATGAATAAATTCCCTATCTCCCTAGTTTGCTGAGAGTTTTTGTCATGAACCAGTGTTGGATTTTTTCAAATGATTTTCTTTGTCTATTGATATGATCATGTGATTTTTTTCTTTAGCATGTTCAAGTGGTGGATTACATTAGTTGATTTTCTTTTTCTTCTTTCATATTTATTTCTTTTGTGGTGCTAGAATTGAACCCAGGTCTTTGTGCAGAATAGGCAAACATTCTACTACTGAGCTTCATTCCCATCCCACATTAATTTTCAAATATTGTTATCAATCTTGCAAATGTGGACTAAATCATACTTGGTCATGATGTATAATTGTTTTTATATACTGTTGGATTAAATTTGTTAATATTTTGTTGAGGAGTTTTGCATCTATATTCATGAAAGATATTGTTCTTCAGTTTTCTTTTCTTGTAATGTCTTTGTTTTATTTGCTTTTAGAATAATGCTGGCCTCATAGAATGATTTAGGAAGTATTTCTTCTGCTTCTGTCTTATAGACGAGATTATAGAGAACTGTTACAATTTCTTTCTTAAACATTTGCATAATTTGCCAGCAAATGCATTTGGGCCCAGTGCTTTCTGTTTTACGTTATTATTTATTCAATTTCTTTACTAGCCATAGCCTATTCAGAATAGCTGTAACATGATGTTTTGATAAGTCCAATATGTTCATTCCATGTTCTTGTTAAGATCTTTCAGCAGCTTCATAATTACCTTCTAAATTTGGCATATGCCTTTTAATCTATCATCTCTCACCACCACTCCTGACGTGTAACTATTTACATTTCCCTCAAAATATCAAGCTCTAGCAAACCCTTATGCATTTACAAGTTTTGCTGTATTTCTAAAACATCCTTTCCTAACTCAAATTTATCTACTAACTCTGCTTTCCTTAGAAACTTTTCCTGACAGCTTTAGGCAGTTAAGTTGTCCCATCCAACTTATAGAAGAGAAAACCAAAAACTAATCTTTAAAACTGCAAAGAGATACTCAAGGGGTTGAGGCAGGAGGAGGAAAGTTCAAGGCCAGCCTCAGAAACTTAGTGAGACACTGTCACAAAATAAATTTATAAATAGGTCTGGGGACATAGCTTAGTGGTACAGCACTATTAAAGTCAATCCCCAGTATTCCCCCCCCCAATAACTGTAAACAAGAAACTGAAGAGAAAAATTTAAACTTGAACATTTATTTACATTTTTAAATTTAACTTGAGATGTACAGTGAAATAAACTATAAAATGCTGATCTCACTTTGGATTATGTCCTGTCCTTTATAAATTAAATATCTAAGATGGACACATTTTGATACAGTATACCAACAGTGATACAAATACTGAACAAACATTGCAATATAAGATAAAGGTTAAATACCTATTTAGATTTATGCTTAGTGTAGTCATATCTCAGGAATGCATTCTGACAAGTTTATGTCGTTTTTGCTTCTTTTTATACATTCAGAATAACTAAGAGATCAAAGCCAGCAGATTTGAGGCGCAGTATCTCTACCACTTTATAATCTCTGAGATCTTGGGCAAATGACAAACCCCAGTTCTAGACTCCTCATGCAATAAAAAATAAATAGCAGCTGGGTGTGGTTGTGCATGCCTACAATCCCAGCAGCTTGGGAGGCTGAGGCTGGAGGATCGCAAGTTTAAAGCCAGCCTCAGCAAAAGTGAGGTGCTAAGCAACTCAGTGAGATCCTGTCTCTAAATAAAATACAAAATAGGGCTGGGGATATGGCTCAGTGGCCGAGTGCCCCTGAATTCAATCCCCACATCTCCAAAAAAATAAATAAATAGCAACTGGTGGTAATGATAAATAATGATAATGATATTACCTGACTTTTTAAGAATAATGCAATTATATAGGCCCCTCTTTCCACATACAGTATTTTAAACTCTATATATATAGTTTAAAATACATATTACCATGAATCCTTCAGCTTTTTGAATAATTACCTAACAGTTGAATAGAGAACCCCTTCTCCAACATGGTTCCCCTTAATTTGTTTTTTGAACTAGTAAAAGTAGTAAAGAATATGGTGGACACTAGATGGAGCAACATTCCAAGTAGAGTAATCCTTCCTAACCAAGACCTTTCTTTTTAATATTGTTTAAAAATAAGCCATGTCTAGAAAAGAAATCATTCATAATTACAGATTCCCAAAACATATTTTGCAAATAAACATAAATGGCTGTGCATATTTCAAAAAAGAAAACAAGCAAGATAAAGATTTGGATATACTGTTGCCTTATGTGATATTTTGTACTGTATTTACCTGGAAGTTCACATGCTAGAATTCTAGCCCCAATACCTCAACATGTGACTATATTTGCAGACAGGATTTTTAAAGAAATAATTAAGTTAAAATGGGTCATTAGGATGACCCCTAACCCAATATGACTGGTGTCCTTATAAGAAGAGGAAACTTGGAAATAGTCACAGAGGAAAGATGTTATAAAGGCACAGGAAGAACTCAACCACCCACAAGTCAAAGAGAGAGGCCTGAAATAGATTCCTTCCTTACGGCCCTTAGAAGAAACTGCCCTGACAACACATTGGTCTTGGACTTCTAGCCTTCAGAACCATAAGAAAGATAATCTTCTGTTGTTTAAGTCACTTACTCTGTGGTATTTTGTTATAGAAACATTGGCAAACTGGTACATATGGAAAGAAATACGACAATGTAAGATCCATGAGAATAGGGATTCTTGTCTTTTTGTTCATTGATATATCCCAAACACCTAGTATGATACCTGGCACATAGCTGGTGTTTAATAAATATTTTCTGAGTGAACTCATAAATTAAAAAACATTTATAAGATTCTTCTCTTAGATAACTATTAAATACCACCAATGTTACAGTAACACTTTCTATTTTCATAAGACATGAGGACCAGGACTCCTAGTATCTTACCAGGTAAAGTGATATAATCAATCTGCTTCCACACCCCAAATGTATAAAATCCTCTAGTGAAACTCTTGTGATGATTCAAGTCCTGAAGTAATTTCCTGTAGAAGAGATAAGACAATAACCTCACTATAATGCAATAAATGTAAATTAATCCATATAGAGAAACAGACCATATTTGTTAGTCCCATCCTGGGTGGAATGTCACAAACTGCTGGTATCGCTGTTGCCACAAAGTATCAGATTAGCTGACTTCATTAAAGGCATTGAGAACAGCCTGGATTAGAGGTTTCAAGGAAAAAATAAGTAAGGACTTTCATGTTGTTCTTATCGAAGCATTAGCACAGGAAAAAGACTAATTAAATTTCCTTCTGGTTTATTCAATTATGGATTCATGATACATCCTCACAACTCCATTTCTATGTCATAATTTCATCACTATCATCATCAATCAATACTTAATTTGGTACCTAAATATGGTAGACAAATAACAGCAAAATAAAATATAAAATTAACCTAGAATATATGTTCTGATTTCAACTACATGTAAATATTCTTTAAATAAAAATTACAGGAAAAATTCACCAAAATTACAATAACACTTTTGAGGTGATAAGATTATAAGTAATTCTCCCTTCAATTTATTTATAATTTTATGTGTTTTCATTTTTAAAATATAAGGTTATTTTAAAAAATTCTAACTTCAAGTCAATACTGGGAGAAAATTTAGGATTAAAAATCTAAAGGGCACTGTGGCGCATGCCTGTAATCTCAGTGGCTCAGGAGTCTGAGACAGGAAGATCTTGAGTTCAAAGGCAGCCTCAGCAAAAGTGAGGTGCTAAGCAACTCAGTAAGACCTTGTCTCTAAATAAAATACAAAATGGGGCTGGGGATATGGCTCAGTGATCGAGTGCCGGTGAATTAAATCCCCGGTACCCCACTCCTCAAAAAAATCTAAAGGAAGAGAGTTGCTAATGTTTATTTTAAAAGTGCATTAAACACATATATTTATACAGAATACTTTGAGAAAGCCAAAATATACAAGTTTCATGGGCAAGTGGAAGTCAACATATTTAAATCAAAATTAGAAACATTCAACTACTCTGAAAGTAATTTGAAGATCAAGTCAAAACTTGTTCTTAGTTTGGGGCCTTGAATTAGCTCTAGAACTGATGCAATCTGAATCCAGCCAACAAGTGTTTACTAAAGTCTTTGTCCCAAAGGGAGAAGCTTCAGAAGTGACGCTGTTGGGATTGCCTTGAGACTTGAACTGACGTAGCAGGGAGGCATACAGATATTGAATTCATTTTGAAATATCATTTTTCTTTCCAGCAAAAATGAAACCCAAATATTTTCTTTGCAATATGCAATTGTAATCAAGCCTTTCTCTACTGAAGGGTTTACTTGGTTTCTCCCATGTTTTCCTCCTTGTTCCTGGGAACCACAGCATAAACAGGAAGTTCATGCCTCTGGGGTTTATTTGAGGCAGAATGGAAAAAATGAAGCTGTGCACTTTATCAAGAATGATTAAGAGAAGAGGATCATTAAATTATTGTACTTCTCTCCTTATCTTCAGAAGGCTAATAGCAAAGTGACTGCATGAATTATATAACATCTTCAGGAATATAAACAGTTCTTTGCCCCATTTGACTGGAAGTCAACTTGAAAGCTCTGAATCAGGCTTTTTATGAAACTACATCACCTTCATCCTCAATCAAAGATCATTTTAACACCTCTCTATTGATTGTACACGTTCCGTTCCAGTTTCCTTTCTGACAGCCTCAAGTCTCCAGAGCCATAAAATCAGAGAAAGTCTACCATTTCATGACCTAAGCACCCACAAGGTGGCTGCTATGAGACAACTGAATGTTGGACGCATTTTTTTAATGCTTCTCACGAGGTAGATCTTTGTGGTGATGAAATAGTTCTGTATCTTGATTACCTTGGTAATCTACATATGATAAAATGACATATAACTATATTGTGCCACTGTACACTTCCTGGCCCTGAGACTATAGTTAAGTAATAAGTAACTACAGAGGAAATTGGGTACAGGGTACAGTATGACCTCTCTGTTGTCTTTGTGACTTCCAGTAATTCTGTACTTGATTCAAAACAAATTGTTTTAAAGGTGCACCTTCTTGTGTACATTAGCATACCCTGAACAGTTTGCATTAGGACAAGTCATGGAAATTAAAACATAGTGTCGTTTTCAAATGTGATGTTTCAGTCACAACCCCCGACCGAGAAAGCTTGAGGCTGGGAATGTCCTTGCATGTGCTTTTCCCTCTCTCTGGATTCCCCCTTTTCCCCTCCTGCACAGTCCAACACCTTCCCGAGGTTGGCTTCTTCTCATCTCAAGGCCACCTCCCTACAGAAGCCTTCCCTTATCCATCTAACCAGAGTAGGTTCCCGCTTCACTCCCTTCCCAGCGCCCTTCGCCAGGTGTCCTGCTCCGTTTGCTTCTTGGTGACAGACCCGCCACCAGGTGAATTTAAACTCCACGAGGCGACGCGGGTCGCCCGGTCCGGCATCCCCAGCAGTGCGCACACCACCGCCAAAGGACAGGGGCTCAAAAACAATTTTGTTTGAATACAGCCAAGTGCACCTCACTCGAATTCGTGCGTTTTGGCTAGAGGGTGGTCTCGTCGGGCCCTTCCCCTCTCACCACCCGCCCTCGCGGCTCAGGGGGTGCCTCAGCGCGCTCTCTTGGGCGTGTCAGTGACCCCGTCCCGTCGCCGGGGGGTGCCATTTTCTCTCCGCTAATTCCTCCGCTGGAGGAGGCGCCTTTCTCTAATAACTCCACCCAGTAGGGCTCCTTTCCCTATTTCTCACCTTTTCCTCAGGCCAGCCCGCCAGCCGCCTCCGCTACACCCTGAGCCTCCGCCCCTCCCTTCCCGCGCTGCCTCAGGGGCCGGCTCCGCCTCAGGGGGCGCCACACCGCTCAGGCCACGCCCCTCAGCCCGAACCTCTAGGGAAGCCAAGGCGGCGCGGCGCGGCGCAGCCCGGGGGAGGGAGAGAGCGGGGAGCGGGGGCGTGCCCTCCTCATTCTTGAGCTTCTATTGGCTGATTTTGGAGAGGGGCGTGCCCTAGGAGAGGGCGGGGCCGCAGCCTGGGTCTTGCGCCCCTTGAGGTGCTTGCTGCATTCCCGGAGGCTCAGGCTTGGGTGGTTGTGGATTCCAGCTCAGGCAGCATGTCTGATAAACGGCGCACCGAGGAAACCCAGGCCCGGCGGCTCCCAGACTCCTTCAAGGGTGAGTCCACGCCCCCGGAGAGGCCTGAGAGTCCCCCAACCCTTAACCTTCCTCTAGGGACCAAGCCCCTGCCTGCAGCGTGAGTTCCGAGGTCTGACAACCCAGATCCAGGGCTGGTCTCCGCCGCTTTTGGATGCACGAACGCTTCTCAAAGCCCGAGTTTTCTCATACGTTGTTTTGCAGTCCGGGGGTCATGATTTCGACATGATGTGGGGGGAGGACAAAGGGCACATCCTGGCCCTCCACGCGGTGGATGCGCCAAAGGCAGGGGGCGTTTCAATGCACAGACAGTGCAGAAGCGCTTGTTATTCTTAGGTCTTCGGATGCCAGGCCAGATGCCAGCGCTTCCTTATCTTGTGCCATCCACGCGGTCGAGGAAACGCACTAGTAACTGGCAGCCAGAGACTGGTGGAGTGGAGACTCCCGTGTTATCACTCCTTGTCCACTCCCCTTTCTATCCCTCCCAACCCCTCGGAGGCCATCTCCTCCACTCAGCCTTCAACCGCCCCCAATATGAGCCCCTCTGGACATGATCATAACCCCTGCACGCTACGGCCACTGCCCACTTCTAGAACCTGGCCTTTTTCATAGTAAGATGCAAAGCTCCAGCTCCCCACACTTAGTAGGCCTTATTTGCAAAAGAAAGGAGTCTCTGGCTTTCTTCCCTCCCCTTCTAGCTCCACCCTCTGCCCCACTCCACTTTACTCTTGGTGTTAGGGAACTCTCCTTCAGGACCCTCACCACGAGACTAGGGTCTTCCCTGTCTGGAAGGCAGGAACTGTGAGTGGCAATCTTGTTCCCCTGTGAAGAAATTAGTGCCTTTGATGAGAGAGCTTCCACCTTGAGCCTTTATTGGCTAACTCCTTAGGGTGGAGGGAAAGAGGTGATAACCCTCCCAGGAGTATTGCTATCCTCTTAGGAGCCCTTAGGAATTTCAAAGGAATTCTTTCTAAAGATGGAATTTCAAACAGGAGGATATAATGAAAGCAGTCTTAGGGGGCTGGGTGGCTTCTCCAGCACCCCACAAAGAACACTGTATTGGAATCATCTATTCTGCTTATTTTGGTAAAGCCAGCTTTGTCCACCTGCCTAATTTAAGTGCCATTTCCTTGCCCAGGGATCTCTGGCTTTAATTCCTTCCCAGGAGTATGAAAAAAAAATTATAGAGGGCTGTGGTGTAGATCAGCCTTAGAAAGAAAAAGAGAACGAATTAAAGAAATCTTCATCAGTTCCTTTATCTACTATACACCTTATAGAGATAGCTTCCCAAATGAACATTGAGAGTTACTGAGAGAGAATAATAGCAAAAAATAAAAATAAAAAATTTTGAACACTAAATAGCTCAAGATCAGTGCCACATATTTTATATGCATTATTTTATTGAATGCCCCCAACCAACTTGGTAGGTACTATTCCTGTCACCACATTATATTCAAGGAAACTGATACTCAAAGAGGTTAAATTACTTAAAGTCGCACTATTGGAGTTAAGGTTAGTGGAGCCAAATTTTAAATTTTAATTTTTAAGTTCAGATTTAAACAGGGAAAAAAGAGTACAGGACCATCTCTTCCTTCATTGTCTTTTCCTAGATAAGAAGGTGGATAGGATCCTTTCCTCTGTACCCTGTTCTCCTAATTAGGTAGGCAAAACAGTTTGGAGTTCTTTGGGAATAAACATGATCTTGTACTTAATGTTCATTTAGTTTTCTCATGGTCACATATCAGTTTTTTACTTCTAAGTTCCTTTTTTTTTTTTTTTTTTTTTTTTTTTTTTGATTTTTCACTTAACTTTTTAAAATTTTTAGATAGAAATCTTCTAAAAAACTGATGAAAACAAATTAATCCTCTTGGAAAAGTACACATACAGAGGAAATTTTGCTCAGTCACTTTTTCTTGTTTTTTAAATGGTAAACCTCAAAAAGTGGGCACTGGTAGGAAAACTATTTCTAGAATGTATTAAATAGAATTTCTTGAATGTTGGTCATGTGCCAAACACAGCCTAAGTGGTTTACAAACATTTATCTCTTGTAATTATGCAATAGGTGCAAAAGGAAAATGTCATTATTCACCATTTTACCATAAGGAAACTGACAGTGATAAAATAAAACAACTCATATTTCAGAGGTGGGTTTCAAACCCAGACTATCTGGTTTTCCAAACCATTTTCCCATTCTAGAACTCTCTAACATGAATACCAAAGTTCAGGGTCTTGTCTAACTTTAGGACTTCACTGAAAGTGAGAGAAAGTAAGCAAAGAAAGCCCAGAGGAACCCAGCTTCAGTCAAGACCTCTTGGAGAAGGCAACTCCAGAGGACTGCTTCTGAGGGGAGCAGTGGAATTTCATAAACCCAAACTCTATCTCCTGACGTTTTTGGGAATTAGTCCCAGGCAGGTAAATATAACCAAACCCAGGACAGGACTAGATTTTCCTAAAGCCAGTACATTTACTTCATAATGAAATCATGCAGGTGTATTGCAAAGAAATATATCATTATAATTAAGAGCATGTCAACAGGATAAATCCTTTGGGAGAATCACTGAAAATAAGCAGAATCATGGGACTGATTTGTTTATTTCAGTTGTTATAGCTGATCAGATTGGGGAGAACTTCATGACTTCTTCAATAATTAATCTGAGTTAAACTGGTAGTGATCAGAAATTAACTCAAATATCAAAGCCCAACACCACAAAAACTGTCACTTATGTGGGGTTTTTTTTAATGATTAAGTATGTTCTTGGTACCACCTAATAGTGTAAATTTTACATTATAAAAACCGACTGCCTAGTCAGCTTTGAAAAAAAAATTTTGAAGATGTTGATAAAGTGACATAGATGGAATACAAAAATCAGTTTTTTAAGCCCTAGAAGACAGTTTCTTAAAAACTATGTAACCATAAAAAACTGTACACTTCTATATCTGCCTAGAATCCTGTGTAAACCTCTATCATGATATTTATTACATAGTGTTATAATTATCATTTGATTTATTCATTACCCCCAAAAGCCATGAGAGCTTTTGAAAATAGACTATGTCCTTCTTTATTGTAATTGCTCCGAATCAAGTACATATAGATGAGCACATTTGTTGAAAGAAAAAGGAAGCAAAAGGAGACTAAATCACATGACTAAATGTTTGTTTAGTGTCGACAACTTGTTTTAGTGTTTCTTCTACCCAAAACTGTTGGTTTCAGGGTGTGACCGTCACATTCTTTATTACATATTGTTACTATAACTAGACTATTTCGGTTTGTGTTACTAACAGAGAAGGGACTGTAATTGTCAAGATAATATATCTAGTAAGGAACCTCATTTATGATAACAAGGAAAAAAAGAAGTTAGAGATCCCAGTCAATAAAAAGGAGAAAGTATTAATTCTCTGTTGATGGACTTTTTCCTCCAATCTTTTTGTATCTTTGTGCTCTGGGACTAGTTTAAGAAAAAAAAAAAAAAAAAACTTGAACCCCTAGCATAGCATTTGCCTTGAGATTTCAGTAGATTGGCCTTGAAGATACAACCAAGAAAATGTCTGTCTTCAAGTTAGACAATTAAATGATACCAAACTAGTCCACCATTCTGAGCACTTACAGGAAGGTAGTGTAGTGTAGTGTGGGTAAAATTTAGAATGAAAAGATCTCTATTGAGAACCCAGTGTCTTTGCCTACTGTCTGGGTCACCCTGGGCAAATCTCAACCTCCAGAGAGCCAGTTCCTCATCTATATATTGGGCATGATCTTACTGCCCTATTTATCTCCCAGGAATTTAGGTATCAAGTGTGAAAACATGTCCTTTTGAAATTTTTAAAATAAAAAAATTTTAAGATATTATTTAGTGGAGAAAACAAAAAAATAAAAAACTTAACAATTACTTAGACCTACAACTTAAAACAGTATATTTGGAGTACTACTGAAAAAGCCTTCAAATTTAGGGAAAGATTTGAAAGATTTGTAGGACAGATGGCCTAATGAAGTTTAGAACTCTGACTTATCACCCTGAGCATGGTCTTTTCTCCTCCAGAGATAGAGTCCCCAAGCAGATTGTTAAGTCTTGATATTTTGTCCATGGTGTATAGGTCCCAGAAGACAATTCACTTAATAAAAAGTTTATTCCTGTAAACGGGATCAATAATGATCTTAAAGTTGTAGTAATAATAATATTTACCAACACTGACTGGACACTTCGAAGTGTCAAGCACTTTACCTATTTTCTCATTTAATCTTCATAACACTATGTGAAATCATTACCACCATTTTCTCCTATTTTACTGCTGAAAAGATGTAGTGGCAGAATTAGAATCTTATACCAAAACTTCAAAATCTTACTGCTTAACCATGCATCTTCAGGAAAGAATCCAGAACCTTCTGATCTAGTTTCCTTAGGCTCGCCTTTTCCATTTTTAAGTGAGAGTAATGTTACCCTCCAAAGAGGTTATTTTTATGAGAATAACTTAATTATGTATGCTTCTAAGATATCCAAATAAAAGAGTTGGGAACAAAACAGCACTAGAACGTAGGAGGGTTTGGTCCCATTTTCATGTGTTTCGGGCCTCCTCTAAATTTAATGAACTTAATACCCATTATGAAATTGTTTTTCTCTCCAATTTTTATGAACATAGATGTTTTGGTGTTTCCAGACATAGGCTGTATTCAGCTTGTCCGTCTCCCTGCCTGAGTTTTTTACCCTTGTTGTTAGTTTGTCTTATGTGATAAGTAGTCTCTTTTCTTCCCCAAAGAAACAGGTTTAATTCACCATTCAACAACTGTTTACTTAACAAATGTGTTTTGAGCATCCATTATGCATTAGGTGTCTTCCATATCAGCTCATTTCCTCATCACACTCACCCTCTAAGGAGGCTCTCTTGTTAACCCTGTTTTTAGATGAGTAGACTGAGGCACAGAAAGATAAGGTACTTTCCCATGAGGCCATTATGATGCTACATGTTTTAACAGGATCAATATTGTGAAGAGGACAGGCATTGAATAAGATATTTATAAGTGTGGTAAACATTGTTTAAGCAGAGTAGAATGATCTATAGCAGCTTAGAAAGATGTAGGCATCCAAATTTTACATTATTGGTATTCCTTTACCTATTTTTTCCCTCCTGTTTTATGGTCTGAAACATTCAAATGAAAGAAAGTTGCAGAAAGTCTTCAAAATGTTTTGGAAATAGAATATTTATGCTTATTTAATTTCCTTATTTTTAAGCCAAGCAAAGGGATTCCCTTTGTTTCAAATTTTGCTGAAAATCTTTTTAAAAAATAGTCCATTTCCTTGCCTTAATATTTCATGGTAAACACATTTTTAAGCTTTGTAATTTAAACCATGTAGTGCATTGTCAAATCAGTTCTTCTGGACTAGCGTCATCAGTAGCTATAGATG